TGTATTAAAGGTATGCGCTGGGTTAAAAAAAATGTGATCTAAACAACAGGGGTCACATGTTGAATGGCGCAGTTCTGAATGAAATGAACCGGAAACATTACGAATATACGAAAATGGACAATGAAGAGGGTGTGATTAATTCTGGGAAAATATATGGTTAAATTGGGGTTTAACCCAGATGACCTTTATATTATAATAAAGACTGTTAGATAAAAGAAACGGCACGAAAAGAAGAAATACTTCACATATTTTGATGACGCCATGACACTGATTATACACCAAGTAATCAGATTTTACATAACTTAACATGCTTTTGGTTGAATACGAATATGTGTACAAAGTGTTATGTTGTGGATATTATCGATGTCATTTGGAAGTTTATTTTCAATTCTACAAACAAAATTACTCATAATTGCTGTTGATTATGTGCACTAGACCCGATTGTCAAGCCTGATAAGTTTGCATACCATTCTAAATGACTTCCGTGTCTGGGTTAATCGCGACTTTTTGACAAGGTTCGTGATGTCCTATCGCTGGCACGGACCCCACTGTTTGTTAGTAAACACGTAATCTCGAGAATTAACGCGAAGTCACGTTAATCCACGTATTGCTCGTACCAACACTAAACGAACAGAAACACAAGTGGCGTAATTTTCACTTGTTGATTTTTAAGGCCACTAAAATTTACAATTCAATATTTGCTGTTGGGTGCTTATTTGGGAGAAAAAAGGCGCTAATTAATTAATCTTTCGTTCTCTTCATACGTTTTTTACTCCCCACGCACTCCGCGTTGTCGTAATAGCATTATAGGCCCCTATTCATATGGGAATAAAAATGTGATCTTGCAGAAGTGACCGTGATACTAAACCAAAGGCGAATATTTTGTTCGTTCCTAAAGTGTTACGTCCACTTCCACCAGGGGTGATATCGTAGACAAGTGTTTCCCAAAAAAACTTACTAGAGGACGCCAACGGAAATAGGCTTGATCCAGTTCGATTTTTGAAAGACAAAGTGTCTTTACAGGGGAATGCCCAAAGTAAATCTCATCGAAAAGAGAAAGTTCGGGGAATAAAGGCGAATAGCAACGTCCACGTATTTATCATTTAGGATAGTGTAGTATTTGTATATTGACAGCAAATCACAGCATACATAGATTAGCATAGGGCCCTTAAACTCGTGGGGTCCAAGGGCAACTTCTCAGCATCTCAGCAACCCCATGCGTTACGACGGTCCTGACGCACCCCCTTTCCACCGAACATATTTAAACTGTTAAAACAAAGAGCGGCCGAGTATTTTGTGTAAGGAATCTAAGCACTGAACGATTCGGGCATACGAAAAAGTTGCATTTACGCAAATCTAAATGAATTTTCGGGATGGGATCGCCCTATAATTTGTGTATTTTTTTTAAACTATATTTTATTCAATAAGACATAGGATTGGGAAACAATATACATGTAATTACAATTAGTTTACTTAAATACATGTATATAATCGAAACTATTCATATTGTGTTATTAATTATTAAAATTCTGAAAGTATACAGTAATATGTTTTTTCAAATAAAAAGGTTATTTGATATACATAATGACTAAATTTGGTTTAAGGCCTGAAAGTGTACAAATATGTAAACATAATCTAATGATGGTAATGATAATTGACGATTACAGTACTTAAAATCTATAACTTAATTCTAAAAAGTTTTGCACCTCAATAAATATTAATTTATTTTGTTCAACTGAAATATCCGTAGAGCCATACAGTAGAAATTTTGTGTTGGTGTATTATGTTGGTAATGTTTTTATGGTTGTATTTCGTGCATCTGAATATAAGGGACATGTCAGCAGAAAGTTCACATCGGCAGGTTGGAGAGTCGGTTATGTGTCTTAAAAATGCATGCCCATTTAGATCACTGTTTGATAAACGAAGTCTTGAATGGATGATTTGAACTTTTCTTTTTCAGATATTGTAAAAAGAAGGTACCAAGTGATCATGTTTTGGGTTTTTGTTTAAAAATGAATAACGTATCTGAATTACGTATAGAAAGATCTAGATTGTTCCAAAGTCGTGTAGTTGAAGGAAAGAAAGAATTATAAAATAGATTAGTTTTACAAAAGTAGCGGGGTAGGGTTTTGTCATTTCTTAATGAGTAGTTACTTTGTGTATCAAGTGTATGTCTACATAAATATGCGAAAGCTCGTGGTTTTAACTTGACAACTTCATCGGCGTTGCCCCACTGCTGTTTTATATTTGGACCAATGGTTTCGTTTATCTTTTTATTTATTTACCAATAACTAAAAGGTTAAAATAAAATATTACCTTTAAGTAACGATGCGTGAATTGCATTTTTTGTGGGCTATGGTTTCGGGCGTCAATGAAAAACATATCCTACAAGCGAATGCCGAAGTAATTAGTAAAGGCCGATTCACAAACTATAAAATAATAAATAAAAAATCTATAGATTGGACTAATCAGGCGTAAACAACTGTCGTTCAGTTTGAACTATTCACGTATTTCACCGAACATAATTGATTAGAAATTACAATATTTTTCAAAAGTTTGAATATAAATTATTACATGTATTTCCGTCTACTTTAAGGTTCTAAAGAACAGTGCCATACGTCCTTTAATGCCTAGGGCCCACTGGGGAAAAATCATCGGCGATGTGGAAATATACAAATTTTCTACCGATGGCTTCCGATGATTTTGGGCACAAAAACGGAGTAGTCCCGTAGAGATCACATAGGTAAAAATTTCAATGCTTGTTTCGCAGTGCTCCCGAAGGTTTCACATTGTGCGCGACGCCCCCGAAGATTCCCAGGGACACCGGGGAACTTGTTCCCGGCTCCTCCGGAGGCTTATCAATTTCCATCGGTAGTACATCCCCGGGGGAAAACATGACCAGTGGGATTTAGGTTGCCTCGTATCATTACGCTGTGCATAAGTCGGGCAAACGGAATGACATAACACAAACAGTGCAAACACGGTCAGTATTACATCTCTATGTCAAGGCTATAACAAGTGACGGTGCTATGTACGAGGCGAGGTATGCTTAGTTAGAATGACTCGTATAAGTAGGTCGTTGACTATTTGGAAAAACTAGAGACAACGGTGCAAAAGCTATCAATATCGCATCCTAATGTCATATACGTCTTCATTCATATATCACATCATTTTATATTATTCTAGCCGTCAGTCCTTAATAACAATACGTGGTATCATGTGTTTCGTACGGATAAGCACTCATTTTGGTAACTGGTAAAGATTGTAGGCAACAAACACCCCAACGAAATGTAGAATGCACTATTACATAAAGATGCATTATGTAAGATTTAGACAAACAGCTGATCGTTCTTGGTATAGTTCAAAATAGATATTGGGAAATGAAAATATTGAAAATTTCTATCAAATTACTTTATTCAGAGTATTTGAAGTTTTACCAAGAAATACCGATTGTCCAGTACCATTGGTTTGATAATAAACTGAGTTTCGATTGTCAGTCATTGTATTGAATATATAGTCTAATCTATTCTATATCGCAGTCATTCGAATATGTAGAGAGTTGATTATACGCTTAGTATGTGAATAGATATGAATTTATGTAACATTTGAAGCTAGAAACCTGCAATAGGTAGATTTACCTCTCGCATAATGCATCTTTAACATTTCAATTTAATTTTATGTTTTATTAACTGTCAAAACAACAAAACCGTAACGAAATTTAGAATGTATTAATAACAAACTTAAAACGTCAAACGTTTCAGTCTTATGTTCTCCTGTCTGTTGTACGATAACAGCTAGATGGTTTCCGTTCAATAAAAACTTAGCGAAATTAGTCAAGCATGATTAGGTAACTGTTCCCAAGTTAGATTCATCTTGTTTATTTTCGAAAAAAAAAACAACCCTAAAGTTGTGCCAATTCAAAGTTGTGAAATTTGGCATGTTTCTTGGGTAATTGCGCATTGATTGCCTGACTCTGATTGTCGATATGACGTCACAGTTCAAAGATGGCGGCTATGAAGTCACGCGCGATTAATAATCAACATATTAATATCGTACTGTTTTGGGTTTTTTTTTTTCTTGAACGATGAATTTCTTTAGTGTGAGATGTCAATTCATTTAAACCTCAACTAACGTAACAATTTAATAATAGCATTAAACATTCAGTTGTATGTTCTATGTTCTGTTGTACTTCTTGTAGATATGTTCTGTTTTAGTGGGCAGATAGTCACAGCCCAAATAAAGATATTATTATTATTAAAATATAGATGATGGCGATTAATGTATCCGCAAACGAAATTAAGAATACACCTTTACGCAACAATTTAACAATAAAATTATAACTTTATACTTTTTCATTTTATATTTTGTTTTCTGTTGTAACAAAACTTAGAATTCATCTTTATGTAACATTCGAACAATAAGATTATACTCATCTTTACATAACTTTATACTCATCTTTACGTAACTTTATACTCATCTTTACGTAACAATCTAATAAAATTATAACGTTATACTTATTTCTACGTAACAATCTAACAAAAATTATAACGTTACGTAACAATATAATAAAATTATAACGTTATACTCATCATTACGTAACAATATAATAAAATTATAACGTTATACTCATCCTTGCGTAACAATCTAACAAAACTATAACGTTATACTCATCCTTACGTAACAATATAACAATAAAATTATAAAGTTATACTCAGCGTTACGTAACAATTTAACAATAAAATTATAACATTATACTCTAATGTTTATGTTTTATTTTTAGTTATACGATAATGTACGCTATATTCTATTTCCTATTGTGCTATGAAATACCCTAGATGATGTCAATTCATAAAGTACTTAAACCGCTTACTGTAATATATTTTACGTCCCATTGTTTTAGTTGTTTTTCCTTCAACGCCCTTGACTTGAAAAGAGCGCACGGTATTTTAATCAAATTGTGCAAGGCTTTGTTAGTTCGTGCTCTAACTTGCATAAGATTAGTCGATGAAATAAAGAAAGGATTGAAAGGATATTAAAATATATTTTGCTTATTGAAAACTTTAATTTTAGATACAAAAGTTCATTTTTAGTGCGTAAATCCTAAAGTGAGTAAACAAACAATCGGATTGGTTTGGCCTAAGTCATAGTTTGTACCATCCAAGGAGATGGAGAATTTGGAGAGAACATCATTTGTGTTTTAGTCGTGGAAAGTGGTAACATGCCGGTAATATCTCTAATAAAATGGATTTAGTTATACCTATATACCTGATAGGTAAGTACATGTAATAATAATACAATATATACACTTCTGTGATAGGCATTCAGTATTTGAACATAACTTATTAACTCAAGGTACAGTTTTATCGATAAAAAATTACTAGATTTACTAATATACATATATCCTTTAAATGACGTTTACAAAAACTTTATGGATACACTTCTGTGATCGGCATTTAGTATTTGAACATAAGATATTAACACAAGGTACAATTTTATCGATAAACAATTACTAATATACAAATATCCTTTAAATGGCGTTTACAAATACTCTATATACACTTCTGTGATCGGCATTTAGTATTTGAACATAGCATATTAACACAAGGTACAGTTTTATTGATAAACAATAACTAATATCCTTTAAATGACGTTTATAAAAACTTTATGGATACACTTCTGTGATCGGCATTAAGTATTTGAACATAACATATTAATACAGTATAGTTTTATCGATAAACAATTACTAATATACAAATATCTTTTAAATGACGTTTACAAAAACTCTATATACACTTCTGTGATCGGCATTTAGTAATTGAACATAACATATTAACACAAGGTACAATTTTATCGATAAACAATTACTAATATACAAATATTCTTTAAATGGTGTTTATAAAAACTTTATGGATACACTTCTGTGATCGGCATTTAGTAATTAAACATAACATATTAACACAAGGTACCGTTTTATCGATAAACAATTACTTATATAACATAACATAACATATTAACACAAGGTACAGTTTATCGATAAACACTTACTTATATCCGTTAAATGGCGTTTATAAAAACTTTATGGATAAATTTCTGTGAGGGGCATTTAGTATTTGAATATAACATATTAGTACAAGGTACAGTTTTATCGATAAACAATTACTAATATACAAATATTCTTTAAATGGCGTTTATAAAAACTTTATGGATACACTTCTGTGATCGGCATTTAGTAATTAAACATAACATATTAACACAAGATACAGTTTTGTCGATAAACAAATACATATTATATGCTTTAAGTAGTGTTTATAAAAACTTTACAGGCGCAATGTTATTGATGGCAATGTTATTCTGAACTACGTTTAGAACCATTCGCCCGTCTTCATTAGCCCAGTATAGGAGCAGAACAGTAGGACGTTAAACCCCATTTCATTTAGAACCATTCGCTCTGAATAAATTTCATAGTAGTTGTTAAAATATCTATGTACACATATCCTTTCATTAGCATTGCTAAAAAGCTTGTTATAGATAACAATAACTTGAGTATGTTATTCAGAGCTACGTTTAGAACAATTCGTTCAGAATGTATGTCATAGTAGTTGTTATGTACACAAAAGGAAATATTGTGTATTCGAAAACTATTTATGTACATGTAGTAGTAGTAGTAGTAGGTCTACAACCCGAATCGTCTTGATTCGTAAATGAAATGGGATTTAAAGACCTAAGTTTCTCTTCCAACCGTGCCTAATGAAGACGGTGTTGATTCCTTTTGTTTCAGTCAAAATGTATTATATATGGATATATATTTTTTTATCTGTGTCCGATCGATTTGAGTTTATTAAAAACTCCTTTAAAATAGACGTTTTTATGAACCATGTTCCTTCGTTTTCAGTAGTTAATTAAAGATGCATTCTGTGTGATTTAAATAAGGAGATGGTCGTTCTTGGTATATAATAGTTTATCAAATTAGTATAAATATTCTCGATTGTCAAGTATCATTACTACCATAATAAGCAAATTCTCGAATATCCAGTTTAACTTTAAATTATTAAATGGCGCGGTTGTTCTAATGCATTTAATATCTCAACCATTCGATAGGCCCGAGATTTGATTCCGGGCTTATCACAGTACATTTCTACATAATAATTTATATAACATTTGAAGCCAGCAAAAAATTAGGCTATTCAATTCGTGTCATATTTTTTTAAATCCATGCCATATGTGTCAAGTACCGAAAGAGATAACTATAAAACTGGGCTTTAAAATTAATCTAGATAATCCATAGAAACTAGTTTATATATATATACATTCTGGACTTATGTAGAACTTATAATAGGCCTCACACAAATGGGTCTAAACTGCAAAATACTAGTTCTTGGTTAAATTTGTATAAATGTAATTTGCTTTTGGTTTAATTCATTTTAACTATTTATATACACGAAATGCCGGATATTCATTTTTAAATTGTATATATTATCTGTGATACTTGTTTTTATTTGTGTATTTAAATATATTAATGTGATAATGTTTGATTTGTCTCGTTAAATTCACCATATGTTTGGTGCAATATAGCCCAGTTATTGCCGGCGTGCCATTAAACAACATTTCGTTTCATATAATTGGCCCTAGTCATAATATTACAGGATAGAAATAGTCTATGTTGTGAAACTATGGATTATGGGTATATTTATTTAGCAATTGTAGATCTTAGCCGGTAGTAATCAGAGGTGTCAATTTAGATTACATGTTGGGATGTAGACATTTTAACACATTCTTCGCATTATATTGAATTTCAAAAGTTCCGCGGATGAGGTATAACAGTGCGTTGATACAATGGGGTCAGTTCTTCGGTTTCCTATAATTACCGGAGTCTACGGTGATGTGTAATATGATATTTTATCGAATTACTTCTAAAGACACGTGACATAATGAATGAATGACTGAAATGGAGTTTACGGTCCTACTGTTCTTAACCAAAATGACTATTTGAATTCCAACTGTGATGGGTTCTTTCAAGTGCATGTCAAGGTGAACATGGAACCCTAGTTTTACGCCCCATCCGAATGACTATTGGAGCCTGTTCCTCCGCGTGATTTGCCCTCGTAGCACATTGCATACCTTATGATCAATTGCCTGGTGGGGAGTGACACATAGGACGTTAAACCATATTTCATTTCATTTCCAAGAAATTACACAGCGACCATTTCAATACGTATTCATGTTGACCGTCGTCGGGTCACAATAATTGCATGAGTCATTTATTACATTCTTCCAGTACTCAAAGGTCTGTGTCATGGCGACACAGTCGCCTCGAAGTCAGAAAACAATCTTCCTTTCACAACGTTGTGCTATGTTATACACGGCTATTGTGTACAGGCAGTACTTAGCTAAACATTTAAAAACAATGGGGAAAAGATGTTATAAATAGTGTTCAAAAATAGAATATTATGCAAATCGCATTTTTCTATATTTAGTTTCCGTTGATTTTTGCCTTGTTAATTACTTAAAATTTTGTTTTGGATGTCTTTACGTTTTTTTTAGAGTTTCATAATCCAGTAAGCAAACAATCGAACAAGTCTCCGTACAAGTTTTAAACATTCAATTTGGGAACATCAAAGGGGTCGTTAAATTTAAGTTATTAGCGAACATTTTTTAAAAAACCAAGTGTATATTTATCTACAGTTTATCAGACATTACATATGTGAACTAAATATCTTACTTTAAATATTTTAAAATTTACTAATATTAGAGCCAAACTTTGACATTGGACAGTGTTAGTCATGTGGCAAAAATTTGTACTTCATATCGATATTAAGGAGGGTGGGGGGGGGTCGATTGGTCTAACGCGAGCGCTTTAGATCATGCTAATATTAGAGCCAAACTTTGACATTGGAAAGTGTTAGTCATGTGGCAAAAATTTCTACCACATATCGATATTAAGGAGGGTCGCGGGGGGGGGGGGCAGGAGGTAGATTGGTCTAACGCGAGCGCTTTAGGTCATAAGGACTGTCATTATGTCAAGGCGTGTGGTTTCGATTCCAAGCTTGTGCTTGACAAGGATCCAACCTCGTGGGTTTTCTCCAGATCCTCGCGTTTCAGCTTGTGTCGAGTGGGCGCTTAACTGTCAGGCATTTATGTACATGAAAAGCCAATAACTAACTCTCTGGGTCATCGGATGAGTGTAATTTTGAAAGGATTACAACACCCGCGTCATTTAATAATTTAACATCAAAATGGAAAATTGAGACTATGTTTATTATCGGAACAATGGTATCTGACAATCAAAATTGTCTTGTCAAAACTTCTCATATCGCTCAGATAAAGTATAAAAAAGGGCCTGCGATTATATGTTAAATGTTTTGTGATAATTGTTAGTTCACAAGATACATAAAGAAACGTGTTCGTTTGAACTTTAAACAATAATCAACGCACGTGAGTCACTTGATGTTTCCGCCTACATTTATAAACTAGTAGTATGTTCAGGGTTTTTTTTATATGAATAAAAAATATAATAAAATCTGCTTTGAAATAGTAAAGGTTAATCATAATCTCTAATTACCAAATCCATTAAATTATTTAGATTTTTTAAATACAAAAAAACAAAAATGTCCAAACATAATAATAAATTATATGTTACATCCTATAATATTTATATTACAATTTGTTGCCGAATTTATTGGGGGTTGGTGGCCGAATTGTCGAACGGGTACCCTTTAATGCTAGTTCCCACTGTCGTGCAATGCGTTAGGATAGGATTGTCCCTATTGGGTCCACGATCTGGTACGTGCAGATACGTTTCGATACGTTCCATACGAACAACGAGATTGCTACGACTGACCTCAATATGTGATAAGATCTGATAGGATTACTCCACGATTAAACCCTAGCATTAGATCTTAATGTATATCATGAGTCATGGAGGATATTAAGGTCTGTCATGGGGTCAAGTTGTGTGGTTTCGAATCCCCGCTTGTACCTCGTGGTTTTTCTCCGGGTCATCATCCGGTTTCATCCCACTGCTAAAGACTACTACGCGAACACCAATTATTGAAATGAAATTAAACCATATGTTAGTACCAAAATAACCAGTTTATGTGTTTTTTGTATACAAAATCCCAACAAAAAATAAATTGTGTATATTATTGATGTTGTAATCTGCCTGACAGTTGCCAGATGTATTGGTTTTAATTCCTTTTTATTTATAAAAAAAAATACTGACAAAAATTAATTAGGTATGTGATCCTATTATATTCTGTATTTGATTGAAATTATAATCGGCATGACAATGAGTTTTACTACGGACTGACATAATAAAACACTAAAATATCAAATATTTTGTGGTAATCTTATAAAAAATAACAATAAACACCCACAAACTGAAAATTTTGTAGACATATGGGGTAACAAGTCAAATACCTTGTGGAACACCACAGATTATAAATTTTAACGTTTTTTATTTAAATTAAAATTTCTGTCATTTTATTGTGACGAAACATTCCACACGAACGTCCATAGGCGAACGGGACAGGGCGGGGAGGGGGGGGGGAGCAGCTGCCCCCGCTAACTTTCGGGTAATCTGACTTTTCGGGCAGCCGGGTAAAGTGAAAAAAAAAAAATATCATTTCATCTAGATGGCAAAATAAAGTGCCAAAATCTTTTGTCTTGAGCCACTCTATTTTTCGGGCATCGATTATTAATTATGAATGCAGCTGTAACGGTTTGGTTGGATGGATAGAATTCAGGTCGGCATAGAGTGGGATTTTGGTTACAAAACCAATGGACAACTTTTGAGTTGCTTAACCCACGGGCAGAATAGCAGAAACACGCATTTAAGGCGGTTAGATTTCAAAATTTTTTCCGGGAATGCGAGGCCCCCATACCCCACGACGATTGATTGGTTGTTTGGGATTCAGGTCAGCCACCTATAAGGTAGGCTATATTGGACCACACTGAAGTTGCTGTAATAGCAGAAAAACACGTTTGCGGCAGTTAAATATTCAAAATATTCTCCCGACGATACTGTCTACGTGGACTGTAAACGATTGATTGGTTGATTGGAATTCCAGTCAGCCATCTTAATTAGGCTATATTAGACCACTTTGAAGTTGCTGTATTCACGGGCTAGAATAGCGGGAAATGCGTTTGCGGCCGTCCAATTTTCCAAACTTTGCTTGGAGTGTTTCTACACGGTAAGCTCCGCTCTTAAAGACGATCGGTGCCGCCGCCTCTAACCCGAAATTTTTCCGGGCATTTCAGGTTCTACCCCCCCCCCCCCCCCAGTAAATGTTATCGAACTCGTACGCCTATGCAAACGTTCGTCCCCAAACATTGTTATATGTGAACAAGTAGGCAAACTTGTGTGATCTATGTAGTGGCGTACAGAGATTTGGTGATGACAGGGAACAACTCCTTGCTTGTATAAACCCAAGACTCCAGTATAGGGGCTGGTTCTCAGACGTGAACTAGGAAGACATTTTAAATAATCTTTTATTCAAATTAAGTAAAGAGAGAGAGAGAGAGATGGGGTTTAACGTCCACTCGACACAAACTAGGTCATTCCGGGATTAACACATGGTTCAATTTTATTTCAATAATTCGCTTGCGCGTAGGGGTCTTTAGCAGTGAGAGGAAACTGGAGGGCTCAGAGAAAACCCATGAGGTTGGACAGGCGACCCTACTCCTTGTCTCGTATAACCGATGATGGCGTGCACGATGGCTGTCGTATATAGCGCCGTTGGTGAAAAATTAGCAAACTACATGACGTATGCCCGTTTACATTAGCCCAGTTGATGCATAAAATTATTGTTGAACTCCATGTCCGTTTATTTCACCAACAAATGTAAATGGGGTCAAACCGCGGACCTACAGAGCTTAAAATAGTGACGGGGTGTCATGCAATAAGGTTAAACGTTCTAGAGCACCTTGAGGTTATTAATTAATTTTAATTGCTTTATTACTGGCAGAGCAAGTCTACGGTTGTTGTATAGGTTCATTGCTGAAACAGAATTATTGCGCATGTGCATATTTGAATTCGTTCAGTAAACTGAAATTGGTCTAGTTTCTAGATTGTATTTGTTTATCAGACTTCTATACCGTTTGAATTTGTACAGACAGACTACAATTGAAGTTCGGTCTGGCGAAACGGAGCCAGACGTTCTAGTATCTGTTTTACTGAAAGATGGTGTAGTGGTTAAGTTTGGTTTGGTCGGAGCCGTACTATTTTGTGTTCAGACTGTATTTGTTTGACAACCATGCATTTAGTTCAAACAAAGTCAAGTGACTTCTATAGCCAGAAATAAATCCAAGATGTTGATTTTGTGTTTAGCAAGTTTTTAAGTTAATCCCCATGACAGCCATCACGGTAAGGACTTAAAAAGTTTACAGCCGAGGCAAACACCACGGTACATTAAAAAGGACGGACCTGATTAATAGTCAAATAGTACGTGCAGGGGGACCACACTACACGCAAACAAAACCCATAAGACAAAGCTGCGGACAAGCCACACAAACTACTCATTAAATAACCATATATATCAAATCTAGCGACGGGGACAAGCCATAAGCGGCCGCTTCGCTTGTACAGTCCCCGAGTCTAATTATGCAGATCCCACTCAACACAGTGTTTCCATAAACTGGAATGAATGGTATGCTTCGTAGCCTGAATTGATTTACAAAAGTTTAGCGGTCGCTTGTGAACAATGCGTCGGTTTAAGTAGAACGGTTCTTGGATTGCCTATAGTTACGGCGTAGCTATGAATATGTACGGCGTTGGTCGTAACTCATTATATCATTTTAACTGGTCTTAAAATACAGTGAATATTTACGGTATTGATTATCATAGCCTATTGACCTTAATCTATTGAATAACTCAATTTAAATGTATATCACTGAATCGGTCGTGCTTACCCTTATACCAGTATGGTATGAATCCTAACCGATTGAATAACTCAATTTAAATGCCCATCACTGAATCGGTCGTGCTTACCCTTATACCAGTATGGTATTGACCCTAATTGATTGAATATCTCAAGTTAAACGTGTATCACTGAATCAGCCCTGCTTACCCTTATACCAGTATGGTATTGACCCTAATCGATTGAATAATTCAATTTAAACGTATATCACTAAACCGGTCTTCCGTATCCTAAAACCTGCAAAATTCCATATACGGGGTCACTCCTTATAAAAAATAATATAATTATAACAACTAAGGTCCTGCTCTGGGAGCCGCGTGATGATTTTATATCTCATTACCGTGCTGCATTACTTTGCATTGTACCTGTACCTAGTTACAGCTGGGTAGATCGGACGACAGGGATGATGCAAGGGCTTGACACACATCCAAAATGAGGATCTAGCATACAGCCTTATGTTTACAGATCTAGTTTGATAGTCGCCATGTCGTTTCCCTCGTCTGTTCAAATGTTTCACCATCACTACTTGCCCGCCGTACTCTGATCTTACTGATTATTATCACATAAATTTCGTCTTTAGTATCGCTGCCTTGTCGTTTTCCTCGTCTGTTCAAATGTTTTACCATCACTACATACCCGCCATACTCTGATCTTACTGATTATTATTACATAAATTTCGTATTTGGTATCGACGTGAGTTATGAGCCTTCGTTCGTTCGTGGGGTTTAGTGTCCGCGTCAACCTAGGGTGATATCGCCGACAATACTTCTGAACTGATCTATCCATAATGATAAGGATAACCGATAGTTGATCGTAGTATCCGATTGAAACCAGAGAGAGAGAGGAGGGAGATGAGGTTTAACGTCCATTCGACACAAACTAGGTCATTTCGGGACTAACATATGGTTTTATTTTTTAAAATTCAATAATTCGCTTGCGCGTAGGGTCTTTAGCAGTTGGAGGGAACCGGATGAAACCATAGAACACGATAGTCTCATCTTTACTGTAAAATCCATCTCTGTTCACCTTTGAGCTTCTGATGATTTGAGAAGTAGTCTAAACAAAAGTACATGGGAGAGGGAGGGATGATGGTAGTAAGGTTAATCTGATCGGAGGTATTACAAAACCTTCACAGTTCACAGTTCATCTGTCATCATTTAAAGCCAAATCTTTTTATTAATCTCTGGAACATTGGAATAAACACCCACTTGCTATAAGAAGCAGTCCCACGGTTGATCCGGTTAAAATACCCTTAAGGTTCATTGATTTTTAAACATACATTATGCAAGAGCTAAATCTGCCTATTGCAGGTCTTTTGGCCTGAAATATTATCTAAATTATTAATTAGACATTTATTAACCTATCCAGACCATAATCAACTCTAGATGGCATCGTGCGATATTTGTTGGATTATGATCCGATTTGCTGCAGAACCTTCCTTCGCAATTTAATGATTAACTGGATAATCGCGACTATGATTTTTGTCGTACCGACTTTAGTAATGATGATCGAGGCTAGGCGGAACTATCAACCGCTTAATCCTCGGTTCATAATGGATTAATTTGACCTAAACTTTCAGCAAATTGCCTTTACATTATCTAGTTTTTAACTATTATAGTGAGAACTGCCAACTCGTTATCGAATCTCCCATAATGTATCTTTAAAAGCGTATGAAAGAATAGTATCTTAAATGGCGCCTTTGTTGGACTTTTGTTATAAAATTATATTATAAATGTTTTTAGAGTTTTATGTTTATACATATATTGATGCTATGTTCTATTGCAATACTTGTAAAAATGTAGTTAAAAATAATAATTACCAATGAGGGTGTGTATAATTATCAATGCCTGTCTATAATTATGAATGGACATGTATCAGTATCAATTTGCGTGTATAATTATCAATGGGTGTTTACAGTTATCAATAAGTGTGTTACTGGGGATATAAATTTACCAATGGATGTCTCAGTGGGCGTGTATAATTACTAATGGGTGTGTTTAATAATCAATGAGTGTGTACAATTACCAATGGGCGTGTATAATTATCAATGGTTGTTATAATTATCAATCGGTGTGCCCAGGGTCGGATTTACCAATAGGCGTAATTAGGCCATTTGCCTATCTGTGGCCCACTGAAATTAATTTATTGCCAGCGTATAACTTTCTTTCCCACATTTCTATAAATTTGAGGCCCACTAATGAATTTGACCAAGGAGGCCGAGGTCCTACAGGTAGGTAAATCCGGCCCTGGGTGTGTGAAATTATCAATGGTTGTGTATAAGTATCCATGGGTGTTTTTACTTATCACTGGTGTAATTCTATATTTACAGTGCACGCAGTCATACTGGGAGCACGAGGCGATGTACATTGTAATTTTGAATTTGGTAAATTGTGTGACGGCTGGTCACAAGGTGTTGACGGGGCAGAAGATGATTTTGATTGGTTAATTTGGAATGGACACGAGCCTTCCCAACCTGCAGGTGATATGCAACCCGGATATACTGTCGATTGTAAGTTACTTATTGTTTTGATGTGTTATTTTTTTTAATTTTTTTTTAAAATTTATTTTAGTACACTAGAAGTGTAACCGAATGAGTTTTGTTTTAGATGGGGAAGTATTAACTACCCAACATAAGCTACTAATTTTCTTTTTTTAACCTGCATATTTCTATAATGACACGCTAACCCTAACTCTATTTGAGAATTGTAACCTGTTTGAGCATCATCTTTCCAAATGAATATTTATTCGTAAAGTGTTTATTCCGCCACTAATCGAAATGACAGATTTGATCAACCCAATTCATTACTTTATTTTGAACTAAATCGGAATTAAATGGGGTTTAACTTCCTACTGTTTTACTCCGACTATGCTAATGCAGACGTATATTTCGTTTCGCTTTTTATACTTTCGATGGCTTACACTGCATGACGATCTGACAAGTTATAGTGGGGGTTAACGTCAGGGGTCAATTGATTAATCAATCAGCGTTGACGTTTCTAGTGGTTTACCCACAGTTCCGTGCATTAAACGGCCAAGAACTCGCCGTAACAGACCGTTTCGTTGGCTAATCCCTCACATCATTCAGAACACGTCAATGATATCAACTCTTCCAGATCCAAGTGTAGTAAAGACAAGTAAAACGAAATTCTGAACTATAAATAGGATCTGTGTTTTAACCAGATTGAGGCTAATGAAGACAGGCATACGCAATATAATGTGGTATGAGGGGAAATTCCATCTGCCAAGGAATCTTTTACGTGCACGCCAATGTGTACACGGAACGCCGGTTTTCGTCCAATCCGAAGCACTAGACAACTGTCTATGACAAGGGATAATAACACCTAAATCGAACAGGTGAACCTGTGTTAATGTAAAGAGGAAGAGGGGGGTAAATTTGGTTTAACGTCCACTCGACCCAATCTAGGTCATTTCTGGACTAACATTTTGATCAATTTCAGCAGTAGGAGGAAACCGTATGACCCGGAGAACCCCAGTGTAGTAGGTCTGGGCACCATATTTCTTGCCCCCTCGGATCGAAACCACGCCACATCCTCTAGACACAAACTAGGTGGTTTCTGAACCAACATATGGTTCAATGTTATGTAGGAAGCTTGCGTGTATGGGTCTTTAGCAGCAGGGTGAGCCCAAGAGGTTGGACAGGCAACCCTACTCCTTGTCATGTACAAAATGTGGGATCGGAGTCACGGTGGCTAGGTAGGTAATACACTGGCTCGCTAGTCTGGAGGTCGCAGGTTCGCTCCCGCTGTCGGCCGAGAAAGTTCATCGGAATTTTCCGGTGTAGTTTTTCCTTGTCAGTAGTGCAGGGCGGAGGGTCTGACAAGGTCAGCTGTCTAGTCGTTCGGATGGGACGAAAACCCGAGGTCCAGAGTACACACTGATGTGCACGTAAAAGTTCCCTTGGCAGTTGGACATCTATATAAGAGTAGGCCCTTAGCGGCGATATCCAGGCAAAATTTCCATCATAGCACACTGTATGGCGTATGCCCGTCTTCATTAGCCCAGTCGGAGCAGAACAGTAGGAAGTTAAACCCCATTTCATTTCATTTTACAAAATGTCGGATCGAAACTATGCCACCAGACTCAATGACAGACCTTATGATCTAAAGAGCACGCGTTAGACCATTCGGCCACCAACCCCTTTTATGAACAAAGATGTTCATTTCATCTATTAAATCTTTTAAGCTTTATTTCATCCAAGAGGTCGTAACATTTTAAATTACCATACTTCATAAAACGTATCTGGTGTCAGTCTCTTTTAAGCCGTGGAGGATTGTGACATTCACATGATGTCATTTCATTTTATCTTCTTAGAAAATTAGTCGGAGATTAATTTAGATAAAACCGAATAATTAACCTTTGAAACAAACAAACTTTCTTTAAAATGTGACATTTATTTTTAATGACAAAACATTGGGTTTGTGTTGTATTTGATACATGCGTGTCATTTTTTGCCCGACATTTTTAATCCCGAACTACAAAGTAAAAGGTTTGTGTATAATTTGTTTGACATCTTTATAAAGGTGATGATATCATCGTTGATGTGGTAATATATGGGTTACGACCTACCTTTAGATGCACGTATATCTATATGAATGGGCGACTAGAAAATAATTAGATATATGTAGTACATGTATCTTATTATGAATCATAAAAATGCCCGAACGTTGATTACTACAAATTAAAAAGATCTTAAATTATTTTACAAATATCAAACATGCTTTATGCAAGTGATAAATCTGCCTATTGCGGGTCTTTCGTTGATGTGGTTATTTAAGACCTACCTTTAGATCCACGTATATCTTATATGAATGGGCGACTAGAAAACAATTAGTTATATGTATTGCGTGCAGGGTAATTGTAGTATATGATTATGAATCATAAAAATGCCCGAACGGTGATTACTACAAATTAAAAAGATCTTAAATTATTTTACAAATATTAAACATGCATTATGCAACAGGTAAATCTGCCTATTGCAGGTATTTCGTTGATGTGGTTTAAGGCCTACCTTTAGATGCACGTACATCTATCTATAGAAAATAAATAATTAGATTTATTGCGTGCAGGGCAATTGTATTATTATGAATCATAAAGATGCTCAAACGATGATTACTACAAATTAAAAAGATCTTTACGAATATTAATTTATAATTAAAAGGCTGGTATGTGGGATGTTCTAGTACAGTATAGCGTTAAGTATGTCAGAAGTTGGTTCCATGGTGTTCATAATCTTCTTATTATTCTTCTTCTTTGGCTAACTTTCTTCAAAAAGGTCCCAAGACACCGTCAATTCGTGTATGCTCGACTTGAAACGTTGCATGTGTGGACAAATGCGCTTTGGGCATTGTTCATAGTACGTGTTTCGTTTGAAGTTTGAAGATGATTCCTAGAGTAATCTCTTTAAAGCCTCCTTTACCCCACAGAACGTAAATATAAATCTCAGTGTCAAAAATATGTGCTATTTTAGAGTAAAGACTGTGGTTTTGAACATTAGCACATCCCGACATTAAAATATTCATAAAGACAACAGGCTTAGTATTACTATATATTTTGTTTAAGATATGTGTAAACTTAAAGATACATTACGGGAGATTAGATAAAGAGCTGGTAGTTCTCACTATAATAGTAAAAACTAGATAATGTAAAGGGAATTAGCTGAAAATTTCAGTCAAATTGATCCCCTATGAACCGAGATTTTAGCGATTGAAATTTTCGGCCTAGCCTCGATCATCATTACTAAAGTCGGTAGGATAAACAACATAGTCTCGATTATCCATTTCATGATTTAATTATGAATGGAAGTCGAACAGCAATTCGGAACCTAATCCAAAAAACATCGCAGGCTAGCGAGGCCATCGAGAGTTGATTATGGTCTGGATAAGTTAATTAATGTCTAATTAATAATTTAGAAAACAGTTCAGGCCTAAAGAAAGACCCGCAATAGGCAGATTTAGCTCATGCATAACGTACATGTTTAACTTGCCCATTTCTTAACACACATAATGCAAGAGCTAAATTTGCATATTAATTAGACATTTATTAACATGAAAAGATCATAACTCTCGGTGTTTTCTTATGTGTCCGTTTTTTATTGGATTGGAATCGGATCTGCTGTTTAATGCCCATTGATGATTAAACGCAAACCTAAATAATCGAGACTTTGTTAATTAACCTGACAGCGGTAACAATGACAATCGGGGCTACGGTGATTTTAAAATAAGTTTTTCTCGGCTTAGAGTGAAGCAATTTGGCATTTTCAAAGATACACCCGGACCAACTTACGAGTAGATTTGTTAGAAGTTGAGGGCCCTTATTCACGAAAACTTAAACTAAGATACAATCGAAATTTTAAGAAATATTGCAATTTGATTGGCTGACCAGTAAAATCAATTTGCATATATCCAATTTGCATATTGGTCAACCAATCGAATTGCAGTATTTCTTAAAATTTCGATTGTATCTTAGTTTAAGTTTTCGTGAATAAGGGCCCTGAAATAAAAGATAAAATATATCGGGCAATGATTTTGACGTTCTCCTTGTTGCGGACAGCCATAACAAGCTAATGAAGACGGGCATACGCCATACAGTGTGCTATGAGGGAAATTTTGCCTGGACAGAGGCGCTACGACCTACTCTTATATCGAATTCCAGCTGCAAAGGGCTCTTTTACGTGCACGCCAGTAAAAGGTTGAACTACTGTGAATAAAACGACTAGACCAGTAAACGGTTGAACTGTTGTGATTAAAACTAAACAATACCATATACTTTCTAACTATTATTAAAGTCTTGTTTTTCTTTCAAATTCCAGATACCTTGCCCAGTGCTAAAGAAGAGCGGGCCATGTTTGGAACGCCAGTTTTAGAACCAACCGGGGGGTTGGTAAATGTCAGTTTTTGGTTCCGATTAAACGGTGTAGATGTCCGCCATCTTAATGTGTATGTTCGAGATTTATCCATCGGATCGCCTGCTAGAAAACTTTGGTCTGCTGATGGATCACAAGGAGAAGCTTGGCATTATGTGGATCTGGTGTTCGAGGTGGTCGGACCCTTCAGAGTAAGCAACTTTTTGTTTTCATTACTGCTGTTATTTCTAACACCAAAGCGAAAGCCTTATTATTTGATAACGCAGTCATCGCATTTCCTCACAAATTTTTATTATTTTTTTTACTTGTATTATGTATGGATAACGAACGCAGCCATCTCATTGTAATCAATCGATGACATGATGTCACGTAATTTAAGGTGTCGAACATTACATGGGGCGTATGGAGATTTCCCTATGAAATGCTAAGATTACCTATGATAGCATGTTGTAGGACAAATTGTGCACTAATTTGGAAGGCCTACCCAAGACCAACATCGACAAAATCATCCAAGAGCACCCTGGATATATGTGGCATGACATTTCTACGATTCTCTTTGATTTCCAGTCGTAACTCTGTGGGGCTTAATCGAGGACTGTTGCTGTAGCATTTTTATCTGGGGTAGTTGCTTGCTATTGAAGAGCAACGGTGTATGTTGTAAGTTCTTACATTTCAAATCGAAGAGCAATGATTTATTGTCGCAGTCAATACGATTATAATCGGAGCGTGTTGGGGTGCTCACGTCCACGGTTAGCTGTGATAGGTTACATTTCGTAGAGGAAAATCGCAAGGTGTGAGGTTGGCTTCAATTTCGTATTAATTATGGTTCTATTTTCATTTCAGATATTATTCGAAGCAACAATATTTGGTTATGACTCAGATATTGGTGTTGATGATATATATGTACAAAATGCAGGTAAGTTCATATTAACCCCTGGTCATACAATATGGCTGAATTATTGATAACGGTGTTGATATTTCGTTCTTAACACAACCTCATGAAGTAATGAAATAAAATAAAATGGGGTTTAACGTCCTACTGTTCTGCTCGAACTGGGCTAATGAAGACGGGCATACGCTATACAGTGTGCTATGATGGAAATTTTGCCAGGACATCATGAAGTAATGGTTATGAGCTTTACGTGTTTAGGGGTTGGATTGCCAAACGGTTAGCACATGTGCGCTGTATCATAAGGTCTGTCATTGAGTGAACTGGCGTGGTTTCGATTTCCCGGTTGTATGTGACAAGGAGTAGGGTCGCCTGTCCAACCTCGTGGGTTTTCTCCGAGTCCTCCGGTTTCCTCCAACTGCTAACGATCACTATGTGCAAGCGAATTATTGAAATAAAATGGAACATGTGTTAGTCCCGAAATGACCTAGTTTGTGTTGAGTGGATGTTAAACTCTCTCTCTCTCTCTCTCTCTCTCTCTCTCTCTCTCTCTCTCTTTTTTTTTTTTTACATGTTTCTGATTATTTATCTCCCCTTACAAAAATAGTTGTATAAAATATACATACTATTTGGCCAGAAGAGGTAAAGGCACGTTATTTTATGTTTTCTATAACGTCAATTATGACACAGTGTGATTTGGGTTATGACATAGTGCAATTTTTGTCAGCGTGATTTTAGTTGGCACGTAGTGTGATTTGGGTAAGGATACAGTGAGCAGTGCAATTTAGGTTAAGACACATTAAATACAGTACATACTCCAAATGATTTCACCCATGCATTTCGGTGCCCTTTTATCTCGCCAAATACGACAATTATATGCATCCCGGTATTCTAACCAACCCAACACAAATGAAATGTTAAGCTCGCCCTAAAAAATGTATGTATGAATTACTTTGTGTTTCAGACCCATTGCCAGATGGAAGTAATCCATGGGGTGAAAAAATATACCCTAATCTTCACGCAGCAATAGGTAAGTTGTTTTATAGCTTATATAGAGCTCTCGGTTAAATCAAGCTTGTTAATCTTATTTGGGTGCTAAAAACACGTTCTGTTAACATGACAGGTGGACCTGCTTCCTAGTTCTTCACATAGTAATCTTCTACTTTCAACTGTGTTAGGGGGGATGGGTGGCCGAATGGTTAACGCTTGTGTGTTGCATCATAGGATCTGTCATTGAGTGGTTTCGATTCCCCGTGGGTTTTCTCCGGGTTCTCAGGTCCCTGTCTCTCTCCCTCTCTCTCTCTGAACTGCGTTATATACTCGTATGTTCATTATTGTAGAGTAGTTGGGGGATCACGTGGCTAAGTGGGTAAGACGCTAGCTCGCTAGCCTGGAGGTCGGGTGTTCGATCCCTGCATTGGCCGAGAAAGTTCATCCAGATTTTCCGGCGTGGTTCTCCCTTGTCAGTGATGCAGGACGGAGGGGCTGACAAGGAAAGCTGTCTAGTCGTTCGGATGGGACGAAAAACCGAGGTCCCGTGTACACATTGGCGTGCACGTAAAAGATCCCTTGGCAGTTGGAATTCCATATAAGAGTAGGCCGTAGTGCCGCTGTCTAGTCGTTCGGATGGCACTAAAAACCGAGGTCCCGTGTATATATTGCCGTGTACATAAATAAATTAGAAATAAGAGTATACCGTAGTGCCGCTGTCCGGGCAAAATTTCCCTCATAGCACACTATATGGCGTATGCCCGTCTTCATTAGCCCAGGTTAGGAGCAGAACAGTAGGACGTTAAACTCCATTTCATTTCATTTCGTTTTGTAGAGTAGTTGTTTTCCCTGGTTAATAAAGACGTTTATGATCTCTGAAACTAATATGGGAGATAACTCCTATATAATAATTCCACTACCCCATCTTAATCTATTGTTTTGACTGACAAGAAACATCTTCTCCTGGAAAATACAATTCGCGGAGATAGTCACATGAAAGAACCGTCCCCATTGTCATATGGTTTGTGTCAGTTTCAATACACCTAGATGAAGTTAGGCATGTGTTTCAAAAGTTCAAGAGATTTATAATGCAAAATGTTGAATTTACGTGTACCAAAATCTTGCGAAACGAGGCCAGGGGCGTGAAAGCATTTTTAAAATTAGAATTATCACGATCACAATCTGATTAAAACACAGATCCTATTTCGTTTCGTTTTTTTATAGTTCAAAATTTCGTTTTACTTGTCTTTACTACTCTAAGATCAAGAAGAGTTGTTATATAACCCGCGTTCTAGTTGATGTTAGGGATTAACGGACCAATGAAGAGGCCTGTAGGAGCGAGTTCTTGACGTGCGATGCACGGAACTGTGGATATCCTACTAGAAACATCAACGCTGATCGGTTAATCAATTGTCTGACGTCATAGGGTCAAAAACCGCTAGTATGACCCTGACGCGACCTCCCACTACAACTGGTCAGATCGTCATGGAGAAAAGGCCATTGAAAGTGTAAAAGACGAAACGAAATATAGATCTGTAGTTTAATCAAATAATATGCATGTCTCCCATAAATTTGCCCTTTTCGGTAACATTAAAATTTGACACACTTTTTTCAGACATTCCAACACTGGCACCCCCACTGTATCCTGTAAATGCTGGAACTCTTGGCGAAACAACCAGTGATCAACAGCAGAAAACGTGGCTAGCAGAATATCTCCCAATTATTCTGGCCGTGGTTGGCGGTTCGTTGTTCTGGATTGGAATTATTGTGATTATTAAATGTTACGTCCGGAAACGACGTCGACGCAATAAAGCACGTAGAAATGTCATTGATTTTTATCAAACAAATCGCGAACGTCCATACTGCAGTCAAACGGAAGAAGAAATATACACACTTCCGATTCCGCCGGATATACCGGCACACGAGACAATAACAATATCGGATGAAAACCAGGTGTATGATACTCGTGATATAAGATACGGAAAATATGGATTCAGTGACTACTCTACTGTGACGTCAGACTTTAGGTGAAGGCTCTATTCATTGGACAATCGTGGATTGAAAGTTGTGAAGTGTTGTCTGTTCGAAGGGAAGCATGATGCGCAGCTGATATTTAGGCATGGATCGAAATTTAGACAGATACACACAGCAGATGATTCCTAATATAAAGCAGCTGATAGCTTGGATTATATGTGCATTTTAGCAGTTAATTTATACTATTTATTGACGTATCGGACGAATTGCCTAATAATGTCACCCAATATGTGTTTTGTGCAAACACCAAAGTCATTGTCTGATCCTATTTTTATTTTTAATGTTTTGTATTATTTCTCATATATAATTAAGATGTCCAACCATCTTCCCGAATCAAGGGATGTTTCATTTAATATATTCCAACTGTTGACAGTAGATTAACTGTAGTTTGTTATGTTCGTTAGATTTCTCTCCCGCAATATTAAAAAATCTAGCATCAGAACTTAGAGTAAATCATTTTTCAGAACGAAATTTCTTCAAAAAGTAACGTTTCTGAAACAATTAAATCTCTGAAATGAATGTCACTCTAGAAATGGTTCAAGAACCTCCCATATTTACAAGGATATGATGCATTCAGATATTTGTCAACATTCTGGAGATGATATATAGCCGGGGTTAGGGCTGGGCGAATGGTTAACGCGTGTGTGTTGCATCATAAGATTGAAATATCGTTGCTATTTTGTTCTTGTTTTCTTAATTACATAATAAATAATCAAAATGAACAGATTTTAGAGTCGATTAAGCCATGAAAGAATGTATGGTTCCCGAAAGATGCAAATAACGATCGGCGACGTTAAAGCTCTTCACATGGAACTGAACCATTTAACTACCGCCAATATCGCCTATTTCGATCAGATCTAAATATTAAGGCCACCTGCAAACATCGTCATGATCACGAGATGTAAATAGGGCTAAGATATGCGATTGTTGCCGAGGATTGTGGGTTAGGGTAAGGGTTAGTGTTAGCGCTAGCCCTATTTACATCTCTTGACCTTGACGAAATCTGCAGGTGGCCTTAATATTTAGATCGAACCTATTTCGTGACGTGTTTTTAAACAATTACAAACAAAAAGTGATTGCTAGGATACATGTCTTGTTCCAATTTCAAGCAAATCTTGAGTTAAAATTTAAACCATCAATACAACTGCATTGCCTATCCGATTTCTGTTTCAAGTTGATGTTTTATTTTTTCAAAGATTTCGGAACATTTATTCGGAATTTATTCGACAAAAAGTCATCACCAATTATATTTTCCGACATATTTCAAGGACGTGTTACACATTCTACAGATTTTAACACAGTAGCCATCATATAGTAATGCACTCGCTAAGATACCAATAGTTGACGTTCTGTTATAATTATGGTTTAATATTATTGTGGGATTATTGGAGAATGCGAGTATCGAAGTCTGTTTACAATATCGACATATCGCTTCCTCGTCTTATAATATAAAACTTTTTGGGGGAAAAACTAGTTTAGAGATTTACAATATCGACATCTCGCTACCCCGTCTTATAATATAAAACTTTGAGGAAAAAATAATTTAGAGATTTGAACATGCTCTCGTGAACCTGTACTTGAAGTCATATATCTGTACCTTGTTTAGCGACAAAATGTGGATAAGTTAATCGTATCGAATATTTGAATTTTAAAGGAACAAAATAATTAATATTTGGACCTAGAAATTGACACAAATGGGTCGCAACGCATATGATAATGTATTACGAATGTATATAAACTGATTTGCATTCAATCGTTTCTGTTTTTACTGTAATTTCTAATCAGTTATGTTCGGCGAAATACGCCAGAAGTCTCAATCGAACGGCAATCTCCAGCGTCTGGTTATTCCAGTCTACACCAGTGGTATTTATTGCGCATGCTCTCCATATAAGACTATGACGTCACCGTTTGACATGAATTGTAGAATATATCTAGTCTCGTTCTTCGAGTCCCTTGTTACAAATATTCCAATGGTAAAATATTTTTTTTGTCTGAAATATTGGATATCAGAAGTCCATCTTGTCCCGGTAAGATCACAACATCAATGTTGATTTAAACTGACAAATAATTCGTGTTTTCAATATCGAAGACTTTGGATAATATTGAGTTAGAGACTTGGGTACTTTAACATAGTAAGCCAAACTATTCACATATATCTAAAAGGTAAAATATATGTACTATTTTAATATAAACACCCATGTATTATGTATTCAAATCTAAAGTAGAAGACAAAGTACTTCATGGTTTGTTTATTATGATATCTTTACATGTCTAAAACATAATAGACCAATTTAAACTTTAAATGATCAGAATTAATTAGTTTAAATAATGTATTTTTAATAAAACTTGAAAGTACTTTGGATTTTTTTAGAGTCTTAATATTTATATCAAACCTTAAAGTGAAATAAATTGATATTGTCCAAAGAATTATTACAGTACGGTAGACCTTTAGGGCCATGAAAAAATACGAGACAATCAATTTTTTTTATTGATTTGATTGACCTTAACAGTCTTCCGTATTACAGCTAAGTTGTTGTTAAAGGGGCATTATATAAGATTTAAATACAGATTTATAATACTCGCTATTATAGTTTAAAATAGATAATGGAAAGGGAATAGGTTGAAAATTTCGGCGAAATTAATTTATTATGAGCCGAGTTATCGGCGTTAGAACAACAGTGTAGTCGGGATTGTCATCGCTAAAGTTGTTAAGGCATTAAACAAAGTCTCGGTTATCCATGTTTAAATTAAATCATTTTGACAGTTTCCACTGTCAATCGTATATAAATCTGTTGAAAATCTCGAGTATCCGATGATATCGAGAGTTGATTATGGTATTGGCAAGTTAATACATGTCTAATTAATAATGTATATAACATTTAACGTATAAAAAAAGACCTGCAATAGGTCGAATTTAGCTCTTGAATAGTGCCCCTTTAAATATTCAAGCTGTATATTTTGTATTTGTTTATAATGTCTGTACTTTTGTTAATAAAATCAATTATATATGTTTACATTTGTCGAATTTTCCTTTTTAATAATAAGACAGATAACGGTGACAACAATCAATTTTCTCGCCACACATGCCCCCACTGCTTAAGATCCGATATGTAACGTCCTATTATTCTACTCCGGATGGAGAGAGAGAGGGAAATGGGGTTTAACGTCCTCTCGACACAAACTAGGTCATTTCGGGACTAACATTTCGTTTATTTTTTTATTTCAATAATTCGCTTGCGCGTAGGGGTCTTTAGCAGTGGGAGAAAACCGGAGAAAACCCACGAGGTTGGACAGGCAACCCTAATCCTTGTCACGTACAACCGGGGATTCGAAACGCCAGTTGACTCAATGACGGGCCTTATGGCACAGCACGCACGTGCTAACCATTCGGCCACCCAACCCCCCCTACTCCGAATGGGCTAATTAAAACGGACATACGTCATACAGTGTGCTCAATGTGAAATTTTGCTCGGACAGCGGCGCTACGGCCTATTCTTTTATCGTATTCCAAATGTCAAGGGTTCTGTGACGTTTCTCGGGGGGGGGGGTCTGAATATACTTGCCCCCCCCCCCCCCAAAAAAAAAAAAATAAAAAAAATTACATAGTAGGCCCTAACTAATATTTATTTACAACAATTATTAGGATTAGGTGAGATTCTATCTGTATAAAACCTGTACATATCCCAATATGGTTTCCATTGCTAAAATAAAACACATAGAGAATCATTCTGGAAACATGTGTGAAGTGAAAAGTAACGGTGTTCCACAAAATTGTGTCTAGTTAGCCTGTCAGTAATATTTTGTAAATATTCCAGAAGTATAATTTCACGCATCACCGCTGCTAATGGAAAAAAAGGATGTCACAGATTGTCAACGGCTACGCCTCTGGTGACGTTGTTCGTCCCAACCGAACGATTATACGTAGTACCTTGCTAGACCCTCTGTCCTGCACCACTGAAAACCTAGTCCCGAAATGACCTAGTTTGTGTCGAGTGGACGTTAAACCCCATTTCTCTCTCTCGCCACTGAAAACCCACGAGGTTGGACAGCTAACCCTACTCCTTCTTAACTCAATGATAGTCTTTGTGATCTATCGCGCACGTGTTTAACCATAATATTTTGGCAACTAAGCAATATGGAGAACCCATATATAGGCCACATAAAGATATACACAGTAAATTACAACCACCGAAACTGTTTTAAATTTAAACAAATATATTTATGTATTAAACATATAATCCATAATCCATTAGAAATACAAACGAGCTGTTTATATTGCAATAAATTAGAAATACAAACGAACCTTTAATATGTAATCCATCAGAAATACAAACCAACTTATTATATTTTAATTCATAAGAAATACAAAGGAACCTCTTATATTTCCTGTCTTCATTAGGCCAGTCGGAGCAGAACAGTGGGACGTTAAACCCCATTTCATCTTATATTTTAAATCATCAAAAATACAAACGAATTTTTTATATTTTAATCCATCAGAAATACAAACGTACTTTTTATATTTTTAATCCATCAGAAATACAAAAGCACCTTTTAAACTTTTATGAGTAAGGAAATACTACGAGTAATACGATGAGAAATGCCCGCGAGAACGACCTCAATTTAGCTTCATTTTACGGATAACCATAACCACCAAAAGATGGGATTTTGTTAAGTGAACCCTACCATAATATTTCGTTGTGCCCTTACTGTTGGTCACAACCAAAAGGTAATGTCCGGTTTATAGCTACCCGCCAATGCGATATATAAACTTGGAATCCGACTTTCTTCATATCCCCGTCCCCGCATATCAACATTTTGACTTTTCTGATATAACCAAGGTGAAGGTGTTTGGGTGGCTGATGTGTCGAACGTGTGCGGTTTAGATTATAAAGCCTGTTAGCTACTTCAATCCCGGGTTTGAAAGTGAGAAGGAGTAAAAAAGATTTGAACGCATTCGTCGATTTTCTCCGGATGCCCCCTTTTTTTCCCACTTCCAAAGAGTGGATTACTGAAATATCATTATACAATATGCCAATCTGATTAAAACATAGATCCTATTTCGTTTCGTTCGAGATTTCGTTTACTTGTCTTTACCACACTAGGATCTGGAAGAGTTGTTATATAACCCGCGTTCTGGGTGATGTGAGGGGTTAGCCAATGAAACGGTCTGTTACGGCGAGTTTTTGGCGTGGGGTGCACGAAACTGTGGGTAACCCACTAGAAGCGTCATAGGTTAATCAAATACCTGGCGTCATAGGTCAAAAACCCGCTTGTATGACCTCTGACGCCAATTTGTCAGATCTTCAAGTAGTATAAAAGTATATAAAAAAGAAACGAAACGAAATATAGATCTGTATTTTAATCAGATTGACCATATGTGAATTGACAAGGTTATTAAACATAGATTGTCATATACTTTATAAATTATCCAGTAACAAAATTGTTTTAACTATGCTCAACCGGAAGTATAAATTGTTTTAAACACGTAATATGACCTAATGAGCGAATCTGCAGCACGTGCTATAACACACAGGCGAATAAACAATGAGCAAGTTATCAGATCGTTGGTGATACAAATTGTAAAATTTATACACTAAACATTGGGCACAATCGATCAAATTGCGGTAACGACAAGTGGCATCAGGTGTTCAAAGTAATACAGATAATGAACACGTTAAAGTTTAATGAATGAAGTCTTTTAAGTGTGTAGAATCACCACATGGGAAAACTCCATTAATGGGGTTTAACGTCCTACTGTTCTTCTCTGACTGGGCTAATAAAGACGGGCATATGCCATATAGTGTGCTATGGGGAAAATTTTGCCCAGACGAATTCCAACTGCCAAGGGATCTTTTGCGTGCACGGTAATGTACACGGGACCATGTTGTTTTTTCGTCCGTCCCATCCCAACAACTAGACAGCTGTCCTTGTCAGCCCCGCCCCCGCACCACTGACAAGGGGGAAACCACGCCGGAAAATCCCGCGACCTTCAGCGTCTTACTCACTTAGCCACCGTGGTTCCAGTAATAGAAGTAATGAAATGAGGTTTGACGTCCTACTATTCTGCACCGACCGGACTAATGAAGACGGAATACAAGAAATGAAAACTATAACGGTTACACTAACGACTCAATCGTCGTAACGGGTTTATGATCAAACGCGTCCAATCTTTCTGTCGAGTTGTATAAAGAGTTCGTTCCTGTTGGTGTAGGATCCACAGTTAAAGGGCAACTAAACGCATTTCGAATAATTTCATTTCTAGCCACACTTGAGGAATCCTTTAAAATGTTTTTATAATTCCGACTGTTAATAACAGCGTCTTCTTCGGACGCTTTATTTCGCCAGTGCTTATATTGTTCGTGTTTCTGAATTGGGATGAAGTGTCGTTCAATGATGGGCGAGTTATCTTGTGTTGAAATGTCTTTATGTTCCGTGCTGTAAATATATTGTTTGAGTTGGCTTATTTTGTCCAAACTGTTTATATGAAGACCCGAATCATTTTCTGTTGTAGGAATCAAATATATAGGATGTTTAACGTCACTATACATGGGACTGTCATTACTTATTGTGGACACGGGTACTCTTGCATCAGTGGTTGCATTCTGTTTACGTTGGTCCGGATCACCGAAGTTGCGTATTAGCTCCGTTTCACTGGAACTGGTTGTCTGGTCATGTTGAATAATATTTTCTCGGACATCGTCAACGGACATATACCCAGAATCTTGTACCCGTTGCTTTAATTGATTATTAATTTCGTGACGTCGTTTGGGTTGGTCATGTTTCTTGCTAGGGCAGAGAGTTTTCGCTGGAGGTTTTAGGTCTTGACATGCACTCTTCTCGTACAAAAGATCGAAAATTGACACTGTTTCTGATAACCAATTTTGGATTCTCTTTTGGCTGTCCATAACTGTTTGAGGTAATGAATTCAAATTTTCGAATTGTGGTTTTTGACATGATTTCCACACCCCTTCATCTGAGGATAAACTCATGTTGGTGCCTGACGAATCCGACACCGTTCTCGTTGTGGATTCGTCATGACTCGTGTTAACATAACTTGACTGCGAAGTTGTGCTATTACTTAAATGGTAGTCATAACTATTGCTGGCGGACATCTTTGATAAGCTGTTTACTGCTGGATGCAGAAGATCGTCATATTTAAGAAGCCGATGGTCATGGTAGTTGTCCGTTCTATGCAGTTTTGTGTGCCCGGTGTTGTCGTCTGTAGATCGCGCCCCGTCGCTAAGGTAAGATCTATTGAATCCCAGTTTGAATCCTTGCCGACCCCGAACACGTTTGGTGTCCGATCTAAAGATATTTAAAATATCATCAGTTACATCACCAACATTCGGGCTTGACACACAGAACGACTCTGGAACAGACGCGGATGATCTTAACGTGGAAGTTTTCGGGTAGTGGAACAAAGCTTGAGCTTGTCCAAAGAGAAGTCTCCTCTTCAGTCGCTTGCTTAATTTCCGTGGGAATTTGTGACCGCGCAATGCTTTTGGAGAGAGAATAATTTCGTTATTTTTCTTAGAAACGTTTCCACGTCCGTTGCTGAAGTTACGAGATGAGGAAGTCTTGCGAGAAATAAAAGTCTCGGTCGTGTGACTTCCGCCGGATGCAGACACTCGTAAAATAGAAGAATGATGGCGGACACGTGAAACTACGGTTTCGCGCGGGCTATGACGAATGTCATCACTCATGGACGGTTGATCTTGTTCTTCAAATTTTGAATTATGACTATTCGAGGTAGTTTCGGATTCGTGGGATAAAAAACACCACCCTGAATATTTAGATATAAGAGCACTTACAAATAACACCATTATAAACACAACCGTCACTAACTTAGCAACATACTCCATGTCTGAATAAAGCAACCACACAGCCGCCATTATAATGTTCTCCACAAGGATAAGCGTGTAGAAGGCGACATATTTGCACTGAATAACACGTAGATTACTTTCAATCAAATCAAAAATATTAAAGTAAGACAGTGTGGTAAAACGCGCCAAATTTAATGGTGTGCAAGCACGCCTTTGCCACGTGATATCCTCGCTACATATCATATAGGTTGTCATTAGAATGAAAAAGTGACATCCGATCGGAAACAGAACCCACAATTTTTCTGTGGATGCCATTAAGACAATACTTCCTATGCGAGATGCTAACAGCAAAAATGTTCCGAGTGTTATCAGAAATATTCCAAAAAGACGCCTCAAGTAATGTACAGTTTGAATTTTATTTTGGTGGGTCACAGAATTCTGCAACGTAAATGACGTCATTGCGAGCGCCACTGAAATACATGACGCAAACAGCGTTATCAATGACGTCACACTTTCGAGTGTAAAAATGGCGTGACTGAGATACAATGACCCGTATATAACCATAAATGGTAGCGTCTGCAACCCACAGTGTATAAATCGTATCTTATGATTGTGCGAATCCGAGTTAATTCCCACACATAACATTCGCCATAAAAGTCCCAACTGTAATCCGTGGAGTACGCAACACATCACGATATTTGTCAAAGGTTGGGTGGCACGTTCTTTAAGAGTTAGCACCAATGATGCCATGTTAGATATCACAAACGAACAACATATCAATACCAGTGACGTAGTAAACACAATTCTAGACGTCACTGTAGTATAAATCACATAGATCTGTAGGATTGTTTCTATGTACAAAACACAGATTCCAAGGAGAAAAAATCCGCGATACATTTTTTTTTTCAGTTGGAATTAAAACAGAAGTTTCTTATCTTTGGGTAAACACACAATACCTGATTTCATTTAAAACTTAAGTTCTCTTGTGACATTAAACAAAGGCCCACAACTCGGGATTTCAATGAATACCTCTCCCAAGACTTCACTCAATCCTAAACAAAGTTTTCCACGAAGTCATTTTAATCCAAATTTACTTCGTTATTTAATTCAAATCTCTACAAAGATCACCAGTGCACTGCCGAGATTTACGGATTATCTTCTTAATTTCATGGCACACTAAACACACTAAATGGTCCCCCTGAAATCCTACACAAAGTTACCACGAATTAATTTAATCCATATCTCTTTAAAGATTATCAACACAGTATAAATATTGACGGATTATCTTTCTAATGCACAAAACTGTTTATTTTATAGTTTATATGAAATTCAATAGATTTCGCTACAATCACTTTGCTTCAGCCCTTATGTCCTAAAATGGTTTCCGTGAATTAACTTAATCCGCATTACATTAAAGATTTTCAGTCTACTTATTTGGACCAACTCGAGTAATTCATAATTTACTCAATCCGACAAGTAACCTGACTATTTGCTAGGCATTGCGTAAGAGTAAAAGCTTCACGAATCATTTCAGCCGCATTTCGATATCAAAGATTTACTGCAAGTCCTATTAACGTTGTAAAAGCCTCACCAATCATTTCAGCCGCATTTCGATATCAACCATTTACTGCAAGTCCTATTAATGTTGTAAAAGCCCCAAGAATCATTTCAGCCGTATTTCGGTATCAAAAATTTACTGCAAGTCCTATTAACGTTGTAAAAGCCTCACCAATCATTTCAGTCGCATTTCGATATCAAGTCCTATTAATGTTGTAAAAGCCTCAAGAATCATTCCAGCCGCATTTCGATAGATATCAAAGATTTACTGCAAGTCTTCTTAATGTTGTATTATGAATTGTACTGAATTTAGCACGCACGGTATCTAGTAAAACTCCGTGAATTAATTTAAGCCACATCTCTACCAAGATTGTCAACACTCTCTAAATATCAAGATCTTTTTTAATTCGCAATACACAAAATTTTGTATATATATATATATATATATATATATATATATATATATATATATATATAGATCTATGTATTTGATGTGTATATATATAGTACAATAGATCCTCGCAAGTCGTCAAGACACAGAAAAACTCCTTTGCAGAATACACTTTCTCAATATCAAAATTTGCAGTTGATCTTTTAAATTTCATAATACATGTACTCCAAATATTGTACTTACATATCTATATGTATTTAGTGTGTATATGTCCTCGCAATTCCCTAAGAAACAACACAACACCTGTGTATTATGCACCTGATAACGTTGGGATAGAGTTCACAGAAGGTTTGTCAATGCATCTTGGCGAGAATTGTTTTACATCCATGAATGCACTTGGTGAGAACTGTTTTAAAGCACATGATCTGATTGCCGTCAAATATCACGAAAACAAACAGATACGACGTTCTGTCAATTCTTCCAGTTTACTTTCAGTAAAACTCTGACATTTCGGTTGTTTCTATGTTGTGTGTGAATGACCCAGGTACGTGCGAATTAAGTTGAGAAAACGTCTTTCTTCTTCCAGTGTTCTCTTTCACATTCCAAGGTAATTTTCTCTTACATATTGCTTGATGTTGGCTTTCCTGGAATAAGTTATAAATAAATATGACGAATTAGCCGATGTTTATCGAATACATATCTAAATTCCAAAGTAATACCGCTTTTTGTATTTAATAACACACACCTTGTGAACATGCCACGGGTCCACTAGCCTTAGTAAAGCCTTTTGGCGAGCGGATTATGTCCCACCCGTATCACTTCTCCGTAAACGATAATTTGCGTCAATGTAGTTTAATAACACACACCTTGTGACCATGCCATGGGTCCACTAGCCTTAGTAAAGCCTTTTGGCGAGCGGATTATGTCCCACCCGTATCACTTCTCCGTAAACGATAATTTGCGTCAATGTAGTTTACTAACACACAACTTGTGGCCATGCCATGGGTCCGCTAGCCTTAGTAGAGCCTTAATTGGCAAGCGAAATTTGTCTCACCCGTATCACTTCTCCGTAAACGATAATTTGCATCAATGTAGTTTTAGAGTTTGTGCAGATTTTCGAGCCGCGTACGTATGAGTTTCGATTTTCACCATTGGGGTGCTCTTTTTCAATGATTAAATTCCAGCCTTTTGTCAGGTTTAAACCCACATCAAATATACACCTTCGTGTTCTACGATACACATAGATTTATAAAAACGCTAGGACACAACATTTCAGCGTCTAAAAGTGGGAAAAAGACAGTAAAAAGACGACGATTTTATACGGAACTTTTCCGTGTGAAAATTGTTTGATACGTGTTGCCGTGCCCGTATGCGAATTACACACAAATTGATGACGTTCACACGAAAAGTCGATAATATGGACCAGGAATTTCCGCTTGCCAAAAGTCTAGTTATTATAGCCTTGGTAATGGTCAAGCAATTTTTATCGAATTGGTATCATGGTCAAAATGAAATAAAATGAAATGGGATTTAACGTCCTACTGCCCTGCTCCGACTGGCCTAATGAAGACGGGTTATCGTGGTCAAACTCTACACATGTGAAATTAATATATACCATATGTTAGTCCAACATTAAACATATTAATTTGAGTAGGAGTTAGCAATATACACACGTAATAAACAAAAAATATAATATAAAACACTATTATTATTTTAATTGTTTGATAACGTCGAGAGAACTCTACCTACGAAACGTTGTTTCAATTAAAATAGTAATTGTGTTGCATATTATGTTTTTTAGGTTTATTATATTTGATTATGTACGGGTTTAAAATCTATATATTTAAGTTTAAAATTATAAATACGTAATAAATAGATTGCGAAATTAATATTTAAAAAAAAAAGAAAAAAATAATAATTCTTAACCTGGTAAAAACAACTAAACATACTAAAACTTCTCCATGGTTAACTGAATGTTCGCATCTAAATATTTATTATTTTTATGTATACGCCCCAAGCATGTTATTTGGAGAATTTATTTAATGAAATATAGTTAGAGGGCTTAAGTCTAAATCAGATTGTTAAACAGATTAATATTTAATTGTTTTCCGTAAAAACTGTCCAAGTAGGACATTTACTCGTATGTCCTGTTCTCAAATTGAAAAATAATCTGCACCGACTGGTCTAATTAAACGGGCATACGCCATACAGTCTGATATGAGGGAAATCTTCCCCTGACAACAGCACTGCAGCCTGCTCTTATATCGAATTCCAACTGTCAAGGCATCTTTTACGTGCACGCCAATGTGTACACCGGACATGGGTTTTGTCTCATCCGAAGGACTAGACACTGTCCTTGTAGGGCCCTCTGTCATGTACCACTGACAAGGGTAAGTCACGGCGGACAGCGGCATTAAGGCCTACTCTTATATCGAATTCCAACTGCCAAGGTTTTTTTTTAATCTGCACACCAATGTGTACACCGGACATGGATTTTTGTCTCATCCGAACGACTAGACACTGCCCTTGTGGGGCCTTCTGTCATACACCACTGACAAGGGTAAATCACGCCGGAAATCCCGAGGAATTTTCTCGGCGAACACCGTTGCTACAACGGAATATCTTAGTTATTGGAACTCTTGAAATGAGAAGTGGTATCAGACCATATCTTACCTTTTTTTACTGATTACGTCCAGCATCACCTGTGTGAAGAGACAATTAACTTTATGTTGTCTATAATAATCTATGATATTATCACATACCAGTCTAATGACAGCTGCATAACAAGACACAGGAGATACCACAGTAAGACATCAAATTTTTTTAAAACAACTGAATAGGTACTTGGTCGGTCTTAAAATGATTTTCTATATCCAATATTTAATAGATTTTTTTCAATCAGTTAAATTCTAGTCACTATACACTGTGTGAACTATTCTCGTGCATTATCTCCGGTTTCACGTCGGCGACCCCACAGGTGATGTCGCCGGATCCCATATCGCCGAACGTCTAGATTTTTGTCATATATCCAACATATACTCCCGTGCTGTGTGGGAAATAGATTGATTTGACGTCCGCTTCCACCAAGGCGATATCGCAAACAAACACTCTAACTCTGGCGATAAAGGATTTGAAACTTAAAAGGTAGCTGATAAATTCCCTCTATGACAATTCTCGCAAATTCATTATCTCGGTAAAAGATCGAGGTAATACATAGATGGGAAGTTAAACTCCATTATTTCGCTCTCGATTGATTATCTATCACCTCTATTATCCAGTCGTGAAATAAAAAGACAAGAAACAACCTTTACCAGACTCTGTTTAAACACGTCACTTCATTCAACTAACCCTCACTTAAAGAGACATACCATCTAGTTATTTACGTCTTTAAATGAAATGGGGTTTAACGTCGTACAGCTGTTCGGCACCGAACTGGGCTAATGAAGACGGGCATACGCCATACAATGTGAGTTGAGGGAAATGTTGCCCGGACAACGCCACTACGGCCTACTCTTATTCAAACTGTTAAGGGATCTTTTACGTGCACGCCAATGTGTACACGGTACCTCACGTCTTTAAACCATCACACGAAGCAAGCGGATTATGAAATGGTTAGGCACTGAAAGTGACACTAACTTTTAAATTACTTACATGCACTAAACAGGTCACAATTCTATGGAATACAATTACTGCTTATTGCTTGATAATGACTAGAGAAACCTAGTTGAAATGAGGCTCAGTAATCAGCAGTAATTGTATTCCATAGAATTGTGACCTGTATATTCCAGTTCAATTACTAAATGTCATTGAAACAAATTATTTTCATGCACGATTAATAATAGTAAATAAAAAATAATGTACTGCTAGTGTACATATTATAATTGTATTTTTAGTATATTTATTAAAGATACATTATGAGAGATTAAATAAAGAGCTGGCAGCTCACTATAATAGTCAAAAACTAGATAATGTAAAGGGAATTTGCTGAAAATTTCAGTCAAATTGATCCACTATAAACCCAGATTTTAGCGATTGAATTTTCGCCTAGCCTCGATCATCATTACTTAAGTCGATAAGATAAAAAAAAATAGTTTCGATTATCCATTTCATGATTTAATTATGAATGGAAGTCGAACAGCAAATCGGAATGTAATCCAAAAAATACCGCAGGCTAGCGATGCCACCGAGAGTTGATTAAGGTCTGGATAAGTTAAATTAATGTCTAAGTAATAATATATATAACATTTCAGGCTTAAAGAAAGACCTGGAATAGACAGATTTAGCTCCTGCATAATGTATGTTTAAATAAGGAAACAAATTAAAGTAAGCCTTTGGCATGTTTTGAATCCTTACTTTATGACAATGCGTGTATTAATTACCTATCTTATTTGAATAAATATTGTTTAAATCCGGTATTTACCTGTAAACCTCTTCTGGTTCTCCAGGCTGTGGTGGTCGTGTGGCAGAAAGTGGAATGAAACTGTGTTGAAACGTTCTAAATGTCTGCACAAACCCAGTCTGGTGAAAACGGTCATACACAATGTACTATGAGGGTGAGTTTTGTACTGACCTTGGGGTTTCATGTACGTGTATTATAGCAAGTACACGGATGGGAGTCGATTATGCAAGGTATAAGAAAGACTGGATAGTTTTAAATGACAGCCTCCCCACCCTTTACCACTGATAAAGGGAAATAGGGTTGGAAAATCCAGAGAATATTTACAACTTAATGAGCCCAAACGGCACAGAGTATAATAGCAGCGCTATGCCACATAATATGTTTAAAATGTCGACTCGTCCATCA